ATCCTGTGACTATGTATTTTTTAAATTATAGTTGACACTCCAATATTATTTTACATTAATTTCAGGTGTACAGCATAGTGATAAGGCATTTATATAATTTATGGAGTGATCCCCCAATAAGTCTAAGTACTCATCTGACACCATACATAGTTTTTACGGTATTACTGATTATATTTCCCATACTGTATTTCACATCCCGGTGACTATTTTGTGACCATGAATTTGTATTTCCTAATCCCTTCACCTTTCTCACCCATCCCCCCAACCCCCTCCCATCTAGCAACCATCAGTTTGTTTTCTGTATCTAGGAGTTGACTTCTGTTTCTTTTGTTCATTTTGGAACAACTTATTTTTTTGTAAATACCATTCAAACATCACTTTTGACACATTAACTAGGAATGCAACCAAAATATTTTAACTACTATATTCAAGACCCTGTGATAGAGGGGATTAGAAACATGACTAAGATTCTGTTCTTGTCCTCGGGAATTTAAAATCTACGGTAGAGATAAATAAAGTAACTTATTCTGTCCTAGGTAAGGTCCATGAGTTGAGAAATATTAGATGAAGAAGCGTTTGCATTTGGTTTGGGAAGTGGAGAGAATCTACAAAGGCTTTAGAGATATGTAGCATATGAGAAAATCCCGAATTTCTCTGGGTTTCGTGAAGAAGAGTAGGACACAGTGGGTGGAGGGAACATGTAAACAAAGGCAAAGGGACAGAAAAACATGAGATGTTTTCAGGAAGCCCTCTGGTGGGTGGTGGTGAAGGAATATGGATGGAAAGGCAGTGTTTTGTGGGCTAGTAAAAATAGGTGGCTTATGTAGCAGAACACATCGAATGCCAGTGTGGGGAATTCAGTCATTGCTTGGTAGACAGTAGAGAAACTTTGAGGATTTCTAAGTGGACAGTGACTTAGACCTTCAGGAAGGTGAGTCTGGCAATTTTGAGTAGTATGGATGGAGTCAATGATAATGACTGTATTGTATGGTACGGTTGGGTAGGAGGAAGAAAGAAAGTGATTAAGAAGGTTAACAGTCTTGGGTGTGAAGTATTGAAGTCCTAAAAGAGGTGATGGTGGTAGAGATAGAAAAAGATTTTATAGATAGAAACCATCTAATTTGACAGTAGATTAGATGGATAGAGGAAGCAAGCTTTTGGGCCTGTGTGGGAACAGGAGAATGATGAGAACATTAGAAAGAAATAGAAAAGAGGTGGAAGAGCTGGTGTTTGGGGGAGGTGGAGAGCTATTTTGGCTTTGGTTGTGTTGGGTTGAATGAAATGCTGGCAGGATAGCTAGGTAGGAGTCAAACAGTCTATTGAAAAGTGTATGTGTGGGGGGACATTAGATGTTACAGATGTTAGTGTTTCGGTTCCTAGTTGCAGATGTGTAGTACTTTATGTGTAAAACCTAGCAGAGAGGTTTCAGTCTTAGTTGTCTGTAAGTCAGCCAGTAGCTTTCAACATTTTGGTAGGCCATGGATAGAACACTAAAGAAAATTTTGTTGTTTAAATTTACATATTTATAATATTCAATAATTGTTGACATTTTGGCAAACTTGTTTCTTCTGTCTTCCCCTAAAAAATTCCTTAATATCATCTGACACCCATTCTATGTTCAGACCTCTCGAATTATCTAAAAAATATCTTTTTACAGATTTTCTTAATTAAAAGATCATTGCATTTGGTTGATTACTAACACGTCTCTTTTATTACCCCCCACCCCCAATTGTGCTTTTTGAAGAAACTAGGTGACTTGACCTATTGATTTTTTCATATGCTGGGTTTGGCTGATTTCATCTTTCAGATTTCATTTAAATTGTTTAAATGACAATGTGTCTTGGAAACTGATAGTTAGATCTGAAGCTTGATTCTAGTCAGGATTTGTTTAAGGGAGTGAGATAAAAATACTTACTGGGTGGTGCTGTGCTTTTTCTATTGTAGCACATCAGGAGGCATAGACCACCTAGGTGCCCATTTTAGAAATGTTCAATTTGGTTCCAATGTTGTCAGCCTAATCCATACACTGTAATGTTCCCACATCAACCAACCTTTCATCCAAGGCGTTTTTAGCTGCTAGTGATGATTGCTGCAGAGAGCTTTTATATCAGTAGGGTTGGAAAACGGTGACATTCTAATCCTGTCATTTCCTCTGCATTCATTAGCTACAGTTTTTCTGTAAAAAGAAATTGCCCACATTGACTATTTGGCTATCCTGGAATATAGTTTTTACAGAATATACAGACTGGATATGTGCTCAATTTTTTGGTTTTATTTGCCAGTCTTGAGAATAATGAGGTTTTTAAAAGTATCATTATGAACTCATGAATATATATATTTGATGTTTTTCAATCTATATGCAGTATGTATGTATGTATTCTTACAATTACACCATCTTTGGCCAGTGGGAGCCCCTTTAAATTGGTACCTGTGTCCTTTTGCCACGACCGCATTCATCTTTGATAGATGTCGTGCTTGTGGTCACACTAATGTGTTCCAGGATCATCCTGAAATTTCTTGTCTAGCCATTTTTTTTTCAAGAAGCCCAAGTTCAAAGAGATTTTTGAGAGAATAGGATTTTTACTTTGGGAAGCTATTAAAGAACAGTACAAAATAGAATGCAGTCATGTAAAATGATAGCAGTGTTCTCACAATGTGTTTGGGGCTGTAAGTGCTATAGGAAATACCAGTGATTCCTGGAATGTTTGGATAGTCATTTTGGAAGAGGTAAGACTGGAGCTGGGTTCGCAAATAGAGGAGAAAATGGAAATTGATACGCCTGTTGTAGGGGAGAAATTGTTAGGAGGTGAGAAAGAACTTGTTGGTGGGATAGTAAAGGAGCTTGACTAGAACACTTGAGTATCTTGACCTTGGTCTTGATCTTGTACGCACTGGGGAATAAGAGAAGGTTCTTGAGTTTCAAGTGAAATTGAAAGTCATGCTTTGGAAAGACTAACATTGCTGCAGGGTCGAGCAGTTGCGCAAAGCAGGGTTCTCAGCTGGAGATTTGCAACATAATCTTTGGGAAACAAACCAAAAAACCCATACCTGTGGCCTATCTCAAAATTATTGAATCCAGGTTGGGGGAGTTTAGGTTCATTTGCTTTTCTTCTATTTCCTTCTTTTTTTTTAAATTTTATTTGTTGGGATAACATTAATTAGTAACATTATATAAATTTGAAATGTTCAGCTTCATAATACATCTGTATACTTCATTGTGTGCTCAGCGTCCAAAGTCTAGTCTCCTTCCATCACCATATACTTTTCAAAAGATTCCCATATGATTCCGTTGTGTGCAACCCTGTTTAAGGGCTGTTTAATTAAAACTTAAAGCTCAAAGGTCAGTTCCGCTCTTCCAAGTTTACTAGGTATGAGTTAGTAAGGACATGGATTAGGACTTTGGCAATGGGAATGAGGAGTGAAGGGATAGAAAATGCAAATTTGTTTTAAAAGTTTTCATATGGTATTTCATTAATGTTAACACTAATAAAAGGATTCAAAGAGAAGGAAACAAAGATAACGCCAAGGTTTATGGGATGGGGCCAGATATAAATAGGTTGATGGGCAGAGATTGCTAGTTTGGGGGAGAAGGTAATGGGACATGTTGAGTGTTGAGATGATGGCTGTGTATCAAGGTGAACTTGGGGCAGTTGAAATGTGTTCTCTCTTGCTTTTTCTGAATGCATCATTCATTCTCTCTTGGCAAAGTACTGTACTCAATTAGTGACTATAGGTCATGCTATATTAATTGGGAGGGTTAATAGGTCCAAGCTTTCATTTGATACATGTGATCATAATAAATGTTTGATATATTTTTTAAAAATCTGTTTAATGTAAAATAAAATGGAAAAGAGACTGGAAAAACATTGCAGAAAGTATAAAAATATTAATTATTCATAAAATAATCATTTGAAACCATAAACAAAAGGTCAGTAAACCAGGCACAGGACTTTGAACAGATAATTCTCTCAACTGGGAAATACAATTCATCATTCATTCCTTCAGCAAACATTCAAGAATTTCAAATAGTGATAATACTGTTAAGAAAATAAGGTAGAGTAATGAGGTAGGAGTGGCTTTCAGTTTTTATTTTGTATTTATTTGTTTGGTTTTCTTTTTTTAGTTCTGTTGGGGTTTCCTGATAATTGCACTCAAAAGTATTTTTCTCTTAGTTTTTTCTTTTGTTTGATTCTTGAAGATGTTTATATAATGGATAGAATGCAGACTGAGATATGTTGTTTCTTGTGGACATTACTTATGTGGGTTCTTTTCAAAGAATAGTGTTTGTTTTGTTCTTTTGGGAGGGAAACTATTCCTCTGAAAAATGTTCACATTTTTTTCCTGGGGCTTCGTTCAGTAGTGAAATGTGATACGTTTCTGCCATGGGTCAGTGGCACATCCGAGGATAGAACCTGTCTCTTAGAACCTTCTCTGCTTATTGAACAGGATGACCATAAGGGTCAGATGCATATGCAAGGGTTCCTGTAGGTTAGAGGAGGAAGTTAAAGGAGCTAGCTAGAGCTTATCTTTGTCCTTTGCTGTTTAATTATACACCATATAACTGAATGTTTCAAGCTATCATTGAAGTATAGAAAGTACAATGCTTTGCTTTAAAGAAGCAAGTCATTTTGCAGATGGGAATTTACTTGTGTAAGGAACTCTAACAAATAAACGTTTTGTGTTTTTTATATATAACTGAAGATTGATTCAGAAAAACAGCAAGATAGATGTTTATATATAAAAAACATATACTATGTATCCATAGAGGTATCATATCATACCTCTATGATAAATAGGTAATGGAGCAGGAAAACAAATTTCAGCGTTTAGTTTTCTATTTAATAATTTACTGTTGAGAGTATAAGATTTACAGGGAAGAAAGGGGAAGAGGGTTTTAGAAGTGGAAACAGGAATAGTAGTGAGATAAAAGTAGCTCTTATGCTCAAGTTAGCTCATGCTTTTATTAATTGACTTCGTTCTGTGGAATTTTTTTTTTAAAGGAAACTTGACCATAACTTCAAAAGAAGATTTGATTCTTTATTTCTGGACTGCGTATATATAACAAGACCATCAGAATGTCGGGAGCCTCAGTAAAGGTGGCTGTCCGCGTGAGGCCCTTCAACTCGCGAGAGACCAGCAAAGAGTCCAAGTGCATCATCCAGATGCAAGGCAACTCCACCAGTGAGTTCATGTTGTTTTCTGTCAGTTAATTCTCACTTTCCCATCCTTCCTGCTTTTCCTTCTTGCTGGGATCAGCATAAATGAACGTTTGGGTGTTATCACTTTGAACTTTGCTATTTTGAATGATCCATTGAATGCTTTCCTCCTGTGATATTTTCTGTAGCATATTTACATATGGACTGTTTATTTTGTTTTTTATAATTGAGAAATCCCTGGAGAACTGAACTAATTTAGCTAGTGTTTTTGAGTTGCAGTTTTAATGATAATAACAAAGGTGTAAGCAATGATTTTTACTAAACGATGATGTGAAGTATACCTGTGGAGGCTCCAAGATTATTTTCCTTTCTTGATTTTCGATAGCACTTACAATGGTTCTTTGAGTTGGACAACAGACATAACTATAATAGATAGTAAACTTATAGATTATTACTAAAGTTATTAGTCATTGCTTCCCAGCTTGTTTACATAATTGCTTAGGTGAAAAATGACTTAAGCTGATTTCTTTTGTACTTGCGCTAATAATTACTTGATATGGATATGTAGGCAAATTATTAATTAAAATAGTGTTAGGTTCTACCATCTTCAAACTTATAACTTTGTGATAACGCAGAATCATGGGTCTTTCAGATACAAGTTAAAGCTGCATAATTGGGAAACCATTCTGATCCCATCTGTTTGTGGGCCATTTGCCAGTGTTCTTGTAGAGGATTCTACTAGTGGGAAATAAAAAAATATATATTTAAGGTATGCAACGTGATGTTTTGATATATGTATATATCATGAAATGATTACCACAATCAAACTAATTAACATATCCATCACCTCTAGTTACCTGTCTGTGTGTGTGTGTGGTGAGAACACTTGAAATCTATTCTCTGAGTAAATTTTAAGTATATAGTACATTGTTATTGACTAGTCACCACGTTGCACATTAGGTCTCCAGAACTTATTCATCTAATAACTGAAAGTTTGGACCCTTTTAGCAATGTCTGTGCTTTCTCCCCACCTCCCAGACTCTGGTAACCACCATTCTATTCTGTTACTATGAGCTCAAATTTTTGTTTTGATTTTAGATTCGTTAGGTATAATTTTGAACTTTCTATTGCTTATACACTTCTCTGAACTTGGTAGATAGGACTTGGCAACAGTCTATTTTCTTTTTTTAAGAAAAAAATTTGTTTCAGGTGTACAAAGCAATGTAATAGTTACACATTTATACCCCTCACAAAGTGATAACCACCCCCCATCTACTACCCCTCTGCCATCGTATATAGCTGTTACAATACAACAATCTATTTTTTAAAAAAGGACTAAAAAATACAGGAGTCTAAACTGCTGTAACGTTATTTGTATTTTACATTTCTTTGTCAGTTGTGCCAGTGGTTCTGTGAATTATATCCTATGAGTAATTGTAAAAGAAAAAGATGCAAATTCAGTATTGAATTGTACACTTTAAATGGGTAAACTTTATGGTATGTAAATTATATCTCAGTAAGGTTTAAAAAGAAAGTCAATATTGATTATTTGCTCCTTAAAGCTTGAGGTAGACTTACAATTGAACTAGAGAACAAATGTTTATGTTCTTAAATTTGTGTTCACTCTTTTAAACTATATTATTACTTGTACTTCATTTTGAGAATTAAGTTTTACACACTATATAACTAAATCCTTGCACAGGGGCCTGCTACTCTCTGTATCATTCTAATTTTAGTATATGTGCTGCTGAAGTGAGCACACTGTTTCTCTCTGAAAAATACAATTAATTATAACTTAGTTTGGAGGTATTTTTGGCTATTGCCATTGCCTCTAAATATACTAGTATATATCACAAGTTCTTTTTTTTTTTTT